CGGTTCATATATAACGCAATAAATTAATCTTAAACAACAAATACTATGTATTCATTTCGTATCAAAAAAAAGAAAAAAACTTATGGGACATCCTAATATATAAAAGTTAAAATTGTAACATTATATCAATATATCAATATCAATATATTAAATATATAAAGAATAAACTACGCAGAAAATTTTTACATAAAACAATAATATGTGTACATCGAATGCTAATGTTAATAATTTATAGAATTTTTTTTTATTAATAATTTATAGAATTTTTTTTATTAATTTATGCAAAATTTACATATGAATATTAGTTAAAAAACGATTTGATGTTAGTTATAAGAATATTTAATATATTAATAAAAAATATTTAGTTTAAACTATGATAATTTTTACATTGTTTTTTAAGATTATTAAATATATCGTCACGATTAAATATGTCTTCCTTAATATTATATATTTTTCCATGTTATGTTATAATGATTTTCAAAATATTTATATATTTCTCAATAAATTCATTATATATTCAAAATAGTGTTACTTTTGTGTTTCACAATATTATTCTATAAGAAATATGGAAAGATTATTCAGTGACTTAATAAGTTCTTCAATTCAGTAATTCAAAAAATTATGAAATTTTGAGAATATGTGTAGTATATGTAATTATTTAATACAAAATATATTTTTCTGTTTTTAAATTTATAATAATGAATTAAAAATAAGCTTTACAAATTCTTAAAAAAGCCTTTAAAAAATATTTTATTTTATTTGCAAAATATAAAAGATAAAAAAATTTTTTAGGTAAATATTATTTATTTTAATTAGATTTATCAAATAATAAAATTATTTTAGAATTAATTAGATTTATAAATTATATAAATTATAATTATAAGCGAATAATAATTTTTTTTAAAATATGTTCTTTAAGGAAAATCTTTGTTGTTTGAATAATTTTGATACAGTGTTATTTATTTTTTAATACAAATAATATCTTTTAAATATTCCTTTTATTAAGTAAATTAAGTATTAAGTATTCGATTATAATCTAATTTAACTATTTCTCAACAATTGAACAATTTTTTCATTTTATTACATGATAAATTTTTACATTCGCTGCATGATAAAATATAATATTAGATTGTTAATAATGTTTTCAATCTAATATACTTTATAAAAAAAAAGCATATTAAAATATAATTTATAAATTGTAATTTTATAAATTATAAAAATAAANAAAATTATGTAAAAGTGATAGAGAAATTTATTACAAATTATTATTATTATTTATTTATTATTATATTATATTATATATATATATATATATAAAATGATTATATTTTTGCATAATATGTACAAATATTATTATTTTTCTTTTAAATTTTTCTTTAAAATATATTATAATAGAA